CCCCTCTTTCTCCCCCCTCCCCATCTCTCCCCCCCCTCTTACTAAAGTCAGAGGGGGCCGGCCGTTTGATGCTGGAGCCGCCGGACCGGGTGGCAGCCTCGCCGGTCCGGCGGCATTCCTCTCACTAACACTGAAGAAGAAGGAGGAGGAGGAGCATGTCTCTCTGTCATGCTCCTTTGCGGTTCCCACATCCTGTGCTGGGAATTGTGGGAACCGCAGGGAGCATGATAGACACATGCTCCTCCTCCTCCTTCAGTGTTAGTGAGAGGAATGCCGCCGGACCGGCGAGGCTGCCACCCGGTCCGGCGGCTGCAGCATGAAACGCGGCCGGCCCCCCACAGTGTGCCACCGGACCGGCCACCCGGTGGCACCTGCAGTCCCCAAATGCCGCCCCCAATCCAGCCCTGCCGCCGGGCCCCCTGAAGGCGGCCCTGGCGGCGGGCCCCCCTCCCGGCCGGGCCCTCGGACCGTGTCCGAAGTGCCCGACCGGTCAGTCCGCCCCTGGATAGGACAGATGAGCACTAATAGCAGATTACCTTAGGCACCAAGCACTGACTACGGGGACCCACTCTATATCCCTAAAAACATAAAACAGGTTTAAAAAAATAATGAAAAATATAATAAAATTTTTTCCGAATGGCCATAATTCCTATAAGGCTTAATTCTTCCTCCATGGGTACATCTAAAAATCAGCACACGAAAATAGTGTAGTATTTTTCAGAAAAGTAGATAACAAAGTATAAAGTAAGTGCCCACTCACATGGTATAGAGCAGGGGTAAGCAACATACGGCACTAGTGCCACGCACAACACTCAAGGCTGCTAGAGCCAAACAGGCTCTGGCCTATCAGGAGTCCCAGTGAAACTTCAGATATCTGCTAATACGAAGAGGTGGTGAAGGACAATCCTCAATTTATGCATTGCAGCACATAGAGGAAGCGATCTCAGATCCCTTCCTCCCAGCACTTGTGAATGGGAATCCACACTGTAGTAGAGCAGCCTGCAGCTGCTATTGCAGCTCCTGTCCTTGACCTGTACCTGGCTAGCCTGGAACCCACTGGATCCCAGGGAAGCCACCCACACTGCTAGATATACACAGAAATGCACAATAACCTCCCATCACACAAATAATACGAACAGCCCACAAACAATCTACACAAACGCAACACCACTAACAATCCACATACATGCACACAACCCCACATGCAGCCTCTCACATGCAATACCCCAAACAGCCCCACAAATACACACAATGTGACATATCCATCCTCACACAATTCCACAAGCATCCCTCATACACAGCCCACATTTATATGTATCATACACAATACCATAAACTACTCATGAACATATACACTATAATAGCTCATATACGCAAAAATACAACGATACAAAGCAATTACAGTAAAAATAACACAAGCAGAATACGGCAGCATACACACCTCAATTTAAAACAATAGGACCGACACGCTACGGGACATCACAATCCTATATCGGCACAGTGCTGCTAAAAGTTTGCCTACCCCTGGTATAGAGCATCATACAGGCTCCTAATAACAGCATATAGTGCTATAATCCCCACTGGTGGATTCTCCAGTGATTCTCAGTGATAAATATGAAATGGCAAAAAATCCAATATTGCAAACATAAAGTGAATAATGTGTAAACCAAAGGTAGAAGATACACTCACAAAAATTCTTCTTGACCTCTCAGCGGCCTTTGACACCGTTGATCATGCTCTCCTTCTTCAAACTCTGCAATCGCTTGGTCTCTGTGACTCTGTCCTCTCGTGGTTTTCCTCTTATCTCTCCCAACGCTCATTCAGTGTCTCTTTTTCTAATGATACCTCCTCCCCTCGCCCTGTCTCGGTTGGAGTCCCCCAAGGCTCCGTCCTTGGTCCCCTTCTATTTTCTCTTTACACTGCCTCTCTTGGCAAACTTATTACCTCATTTGGTTTCCACTACCACCTGTACACTGATGACACCCAGCTATATCTCTCCACCCCGGACCTCTACCCTGCTGTCCTGCAACGTGTCACTGCTTGCCTTTCTTCCATCTCTGACTGGATGTCCTCCTGCTTTCTGAAACTCAATCTCTCAAAAACTGAGCTCCTTGTCTTTCCTCCTCCTAATACTGATCCTCCTCTCTCGCTCTCCCTTCAAGTTTGTGGTACCAACATCAGCCCATCCTTGCAAGCGCGCTGTCTTGGCGTCATACTTGACTCTGGTCTCACCTTTGAGCCTCACATCCAGCATGTTGCCAAATCCTGTAGATTCCATCTTAAAAACATAGCCCGCATCCGCCCCTTTCTTGCACCAGATACTACCAAGGAGCTTGTCCATGCTCTAATAATTTCACGCATGGATTATTGTAACCCTCTCCTGCTTGGTCTTCCCAAAAGCCGTACTGCACCCCTACAGTCTGTAATGAATGCTGCTGCTAGACTGATTTTCCTCTCTCACACCTCACCCCTCTGCCAGTCCTTACATTGGCTTCCTGTGTGCTATAGGAGTCAATTCAAGGCACTAACTCACACCTATAAAGCACTGAACAACTCTAGCCCCTCTTATATCTCCTCACTGATCCACAGGTATGTCCCTTCTCGGTCTCTCCGCTCTGCCCGTGACCACCTCCTGTCCGTTGTCCGCACCCGTACGGCCAACTCGCGCTTGCAGGACTTCTCGCGGGCGGCTCCCTTCCTATGGAATAGCCTGCCTACCGCCATCCGACTCTCCCCTAGTCTTGCATCTTTTAAGAAGTGCCTTAAAACCCATCTCTTTAGGAAAGCTTATGGCCTCCAAGACTAACCCCTACCTCACATACCCGTCTCTTGCCCTCTCCTAAAGGGCAGCCCACCTTATTTGATTGCACATTCCTGTCCTAATGTGTTTTACACCCCACCTCCTATAGAATGTAAGCTCGATTGAGCAGGGTCCTCTTCAACCTATTGTTCCTGTAAGTTTATTTGTAATTGTCCTATTTATAGTTAAATCCCCTTTCATAATATTGTAAAGTGCTACGGAATCTGTTGGCGCTATTTAAATGGCAATAATAATAATAATAATAAAGCTCAACATTTCAGTCACGAGGCGGTACAATCAGTTTAATCCTACCACCCAAGGATATATCCATGTCACAATTTCCTCAGCAACATAGATGTATATGGAAGAGAAAAAAATTATGTATAATGCAAAATAATATATATTGGAATGAAAGATAAAACTGTACTCACATTTCCTAGAGCAGTAAGACTTATCAATGCAGCCATTGTAGATGGTACTACTATCCCCAGTGAGGATCAGATGTCCAAATTTCAAGTGTGCTTTACAAAATATGCCAGGAACAAAGTAAAAGTTAAAAATATATGTATTGAACAGGTCCAATAAAAATTGAACCACAACTACTTTATTTTTAACAACTAGAGGCGATAGCATACACTAAACAATATGATATAATAGGCATAACAGAAACATGGTGGGATGAGACACATGATTGGGCAGTTAACTTAAATGGTACACGTTATTTAGGTAGGATTGGAAAAACAAGAAGGGTGGTGGGGTATGGTATGGATGAGTTAAAGTCAAATCTTAGGCATGTGGAGAGTGACGAGGAAAATGTGGAAGCTTTATGGGTAGATATCTGCTTGGGGCAAACAAAGGGAAATCAGTTATTGGTTGGGATATGTTATAAACCACCTAATGTAAATATTAATGAGGAAGAACAGCTGAGGATAAATGGAAACTCTCCAAACAAATATTAGAAAGGTACATTCCTCAGTATGTACCATTGGGTGATAAATATAAAAGAAACAAATTGAAACCAATGTGGCTTAGTTCAGAAGTAAAACGAGATTAAAAATAAGAAAAGGGCATTTAAAGCATTTAAACTGAACAAAACAGAGGCATCCTATATAAGATATAAGGAGGCCAATAATGCTTGCAAAAAGGCAATTAAAGTGGCTAAACTAGAAAATGAGAAATTGATAGCCAAAGAATGCAAAACCAACCCCAAATTTTTTTTCAAGTACAGCAATTCTAAAATAACAAAAAAAAAATGAAAGTGTAGGTACACTGGAAACAGAGATGGGCCTGTTAGTTAATGATGACCAGGAAAAGGCAGACATTTGTTTCAGTATATATTAATGAGGATCCTATGGCAAGAGATATGAAAATGATTGCTGCAAAACACTTGCAGATAACTTGTGATTGGATGACTCGAGACAAGGTGCTACAGCAATTAAAGAAAATTAATGTAAATAAAGCTCCGGGGACTGACGGTATTCACCCACGAGTACTTAAGGAGCTAAGTGGGGAAATAAGTGAACCTCTGTATTTAATCTTTCAAAATTCTTTTGTTTCAGGTATTGTACCGTAGGATTGGAGGAAGGCAGATGTCGTTCCTATATTTAAAAAAAGCAAAAACCCTTGCCTGGAAATTATAGACCTATGCTTAACTTCTGTGACTGGGAAAATATTTGAAGGGGTATTAAGGGATATTATTCAGGAATTCATTGGGAATAACTTTGTTATTAGCAATAATCAGCATGGTTTCATGGTCATGTCAAACTAACCTAATTGCATTCTACAAAGA